CACGCAACTTAAAGCTAAGGCGCACGCATCCCACGATGTCCTCGGTGCTCCGGTGGGCCGATGTGCACACGACGGAAATTCACTTGGTAATGTGAAGTGTCCGTACTGCTCAAGGTTATATAGTATTTCGGTCGTGAGTGATCAGGTACAGTTGACAACTTTTTTTTCAAACTTCTAAAATTTTATCTTTGTGTATACGTCGGAAGTTTAGGTGATAATGATCTTTAAGCCGTTCGAGGTTAATCTAATGTTGATAACTTTTTTTTCAAACTTCTAAAACACGGCGAAAATTTAATTGATATTGAATCTCCGTATCTCTCAAGGTTAATCTAATGTTTCGGTCGTCGGTGATCCGGAACAATTGATAATTTTTTTTAGTATTTCGTAAAACAGTTTTTCTATTATACTAATCAATAATTTAATAGTTTTTACATTTCTATCACAAAGTTACACTTTCATGAATATGTTACAATGTTAAATGTAATAATTTATTAATTTTTTATCTTTATTGTAAACAATATTTGTAGAAATATTTTATCGATATGTTCAAACTTTCATAAAATCGATTTAAAAATCGGGATAAAGATAATTCATTCAAGTTGTGAGTTTTAATTTAACAAATTTGTAAATAAAAAGACGCCATATCTAATTATGTATAAAAATATCATATTTCAATCAATTTTTTTCTAATATTTTTAAATAGGTATTAGTAGTCAAATATGTGCTAATTTTTTGATCCCAATTTCCATTAGTCGCTGTTTTAAATTCGCTGTTTATATTCCTTCATTGACGAAGTACCAATTCAATTCAATAAATAATTCTCGAAACAGATCTGGCAACAGTTCATATTTTTTTAATTTTCATTTTCACCACTAGTAGTGCTGCGATCGCAAAATCGGTAAGATAGGATGTGACACGAAAATGGTAAGGTTATGTCGGTCTTATTACCATGGCCGCGAAAATACATGGTTATGTAATGTCTATTTTTATACCTCGTCTGTGCCATGGACACATGGAAAAAATACATTGGATGTATGGTCTATTCAGATACCCCGTCTGTGACCTTGATTTTTTTGCTAGTCGATATGCAGACCCTAAGACGAAATCCCATTTAACGTCCAGTCTATTCTATTTTTAGTCAATGATTGTACGAAGTTTTACAATTCTCACAAACTTCACCGATGCCTGACGGGTTGCGGCATATAGGCGTCATACTAACACCTACATGTTAAATATGTATTTCAATTTATAATGGAGCGCGTTTCAACCAGAAGGACAACACAAACGACGTTCAATCAAGTATATTTATTAATTAATGGAAATACTGAAATCGGTATACAATTACCTCTAACATAATTATTTACTTATGTTCAATTATATATGTTTTATTGCATTAATTATCAACAGTTGGTTACACACTTCTTATTCGCTCACTTTTCTTCTTTGTATCCCTCATTTTCACACTTTCTTCGCTTCTCTTTCTCTCTCTCTCTCTTTCTGACTTTTTATTTATCAAATAGTAATACACGTACACACGTGATTACGTACGTGTAACGAAATTATAACAAGCTAGTAGAAATAACAAACGGTACTAATGAATTAATGATTAATTGCGATTTAATTGACAATCGTTTTGGCATAGTATAAAATATCACCATCTTCTTCTTCTCAAATGTACAAGATTAACGATTTCGTTATTAACAAGTGAACGATTTCAACCGATCACGTTCGAATTGATCTCTCAAAAGATAGTTTCATCAACAATATTTTACACTTAATTTGACTACAAAATGTATCTGAATGTTTCGTGCTGATCGTTTCGATTGTTAATTAAAACTTCTTAAGGCACTATAAAAAATGCGTTGTCTGCGCGATTCTTACATAATAATTTACATATATTTACAAATCGACATCGTCGCGTAACATCCATTTCAAAGATATATATTCACAGATTTGTATATTTAATTATACATTTATACAATATCGCACATTGAATACAGTATCATTTATTTGATTCATTATCTTGATTGTAACAAACATCAAATATTTCGTTAACATTCTGCGCATCGCTTTGATGTATTCGACATTCGCGTTAATTGAACTACGCAGAAAAATTCGCAAGTGTAATTTCGATTGGTTAGTAAGACAAAAAAAAAGGTTTTCGACGAGAGTTCATTGCATTCATACAGGACAAGCACAGATGCTTTAAATAACTGCGAAAGTAATATTTATAACGACGACGATGATAATAATAATAATATTAATAATAAAATAAAATAAAATAATGTTAATAATATGAAGCATTTATTATTTATGAGTTTGATAAAGGCACGAAGACGTTACATAATTATATATAAATACTATTAACTGTGACGTCTCCTGACATCTCGGAGTTCCTATGTCACTGCGGGTCTTCGCGTCTTCAAGTCCCCAATGTCTCACTTCAATTTTAATTTCAATCTCTCCAATCGGCCGGCAACCAGGTTCGGATAAAGGTTTCATCTGGTGTCGAGTTCCCGCAGTGTTCGTTCATCATATATATAACGTTTCAAACATATGTCTTCACAAGCCGCAAGTGGCTGCAGCTAACTGAAAAGTCGATGGGGATCAAGCAGGTTAAACACGCAGCGTTGCGGATCGGTCCGAGGGATGGGTGCCCGTTTTTCATGC